TTTCTTTATTTAAATTATTTTAACGTTATATAGGATAGTTTTTATATAAATAGGAGTAACTTAGGATTAAGTATCGAGAGATCGTTTTAGTTTTGTCTTATATTAGTTTTAGTAATTTTAAAGTCTTTAATAAATAAACTGTTTAGTACAGACGTGCTGACAGAGGCAGTACTATAATTTTTGTTTGTTAATCATTTGTTCTACACGAATTACTATATTTTTCTTACCCTTATAAATTGTAATTAAGTTCTCTATCTTCTCTAAGAAGGAAACCTTCTGCACACATAAACATAACGCTTATTTAAGTTGAGCATTTTAAAGAACTGGCGTAACACTATTGAGACTCATACAGTCATGTCATAGATTAAAATATCTCAATATTATCTACCGCAGATTGATTAGCAATATAGTTATTAAATAAGTTACTAAATCATATGGGTTAGTACATACAAAAATCAGGTTTTGATCATATGATTTATATAGTCCTACAGCATGATTTTCGTATGTACTAACCCATATCTTAATTTGAAATATCTTGATCTAAAGGGATGTTATAGTATTAACAAAAAAGCTATAGATTAGCTCATTTCACTTAATTCAAATATCTGTATTAAGAATTTCATGAGTGTTATAATACCTGATTTTAATGACAAACTTCTTAATTATCTTAGTCAATATTTGATAAGCTAGCTTAGTAATATTTCCACTTTAATGTCAAAACTTAGTAATAGAATACTAGTCAATCAAGAAGATTGTTGATACTCTACTGATCTAATTAATCTAGAGCGGTGATCATTAGCCCTTCTTTGAAACATAACTTCTACAGGAAATAAATTAACAATTTTGCAGAAAATTTTCTGAGTTATAATAAAAAAGTAGTGAAAAGCTTTCTCTTCTAAAGATTTTTGATTGAAAGAATTTTTTTGCATATATTAGTATTTCTCCTGAGGAGGTGATCAATATGAATAATTACCTTTTATACATAAAAGTTTTTTAACTACTACTATACTAACTCAAAATTTTGAATTATTCCTTTTTGTATAAAAAAATATTATCAAATATGCAATCAACTGATTTATTGAAAAAATTAAATGCTAAGCTCTTAGCTAAGATTGCTAAGCTTAGAAAAATGTTTATTGAAATCAAGGGTAAGAATATTGAGATTCCTAAACTTAAAAAAAAGGTTGCTGAGGATGAAGTTAAGAAAATAAAGCTAAGACAAGAGCTTAACACCAGAACTGATGAGCTGGAGAAAACTATATTGTATTATTCAGTTAAAATTGATAAACTTAACACTAAAATGGTGGAGCTAGAAAAATATAAGTCAGTTATTATCAAGCTTAGGTCTGGAGAATACTGAATTCAGGGTTAGATTTATGAAGTTAGAATAGCAGATACATGTTAATGAAGCTCTTGAGAAAGCGATACCAAAAGTATCAACTGTTAATGTATCTGGTTTGCCAAAGTAAACAACTCAGCTTAATAGTAAAGTAGATCAAGAAAATATTATACTTAGTAATAACTTCAATACAGAGCTATTAAAAGATAAGGAAACAAATGCTTTTTTAAATGAGATGTATAAGAATATGGTTAATGATGAGATTAGATAATGTAATAGAAAGAAGAAACAACTGCATGAATTAACTAATCAGAACTCATCTACTACTAATATTGATCAGATGTTTTTAGAAAATTCAGAAGAATTTAAAAAACCATTCCCTCAGTAAATGATCAAAGTCATGTAACTTTGAAAACTGAAGTATCTGTAAAGCAAGATGATGATATAATTTCAAAGGAATCACTTGATGAAAATCAAATTGTAGAATAAGACTTAATACATAAATTATGCTTATCTAAAAGATGTGAAAGTTAATTTGTTACCATTCTTTAGATAATATTATCCTACAAAATCATCAGCTTATACGTTAATTTAGAGAATAAGATTTTAAGTTCTGTCTAGCACTTATCTTATTTATTTAAAACAGTAATATAAATCCAGTCAACAGGAAATATTAAACTGGCACAATTATTCCTTTGAATTTGAAAGCAAGTAAATGCTCTTATAGCTGATAGTAGAATTAAGGATAAAATGAAAAAAATAATGATTTATAAAGAAATAAAACTATTTCTCCTTACTAAAATTACACAAGCTAACTTGCATAAGAAAACTCATAAAGCTAGAAAACATCTTATATTATTTGGGAAAAATGGGATTGGAATAGATAAAATCAAACTGATCTTATATAGCACAACTGAAATTTCAAAATTAACTAATGCGCAAATCCATAATGTCATAGATCAAGTAAAAAAATATACTAATGATCATCAGAGTCATATGTCTTTAAAACCATTCCTTCAGGAAATGATCAGATTAATGCTGAGGTAGATAAGTCAACTTATGACGATCATATTTTTACAATAAAACATAGTAATAAAAATTTTGATTATTATAGCATTACTGATGAGACATCATGTCTATTATGCAAATTAGACCATAATTATAAAGAAAGTATAGAAGGTAGATATAAAGCTGGATCTTATTTTATTAAATGTGAACAGCGTAAAATTGAGATAGTTGCATAGTCTCATTATTTTATAAACTATATTTGCTCACACTTCATTGTGATATTTTTTTTACAGGACTAATTTATGTTAACTATTACCTACTGTAATTTAAATTGATTTGCAAACATATAAAAAAGCAATATGAGCAAGTCTGATAAAATATTAATTCCTGAATATCTGGATTAGTATGTCAAATTAACTGGTTTACCAAGCATTTTGACAAATAAGATTCGTTCCAATTTATACAAAAAAATATAAAAAAGAAACTGGACATGAGCCATGGCAATTATCAAAAGCTGGGATAAAAGTCAGCCAAATCTTTGATTTCAAGCCTATCACTTATGAAGCCACATCCTATTCAGAATTAATTATCGAATCCATCTTGAAGCATTTCACATACCTGAAATTCTGAAATAGTTTTAGGGGAATTGATAATTATAATTTTGCCGTGGGACTCACCATGCCCTATCTGCGATAGAAAACATGGGAATTATAGATTATATGGGTGCGTTTCCAGTAAAATCACATTATGGATCATATGATTTACTATGCCTCATGACTTGATTTTACTGGAAACGTTCCCATATGGCGAATGGTATAGAAATGGGACAGAATATTGTCTTAGCTGCAACAGTTCAAGCAATAAATTCAAGTTCTTAATCATAACATAGGCTGGTCATGTGAGATCGATTGCTAAAATTTTTACTGCGTCATACACGTAATGTCGTGTATTGTGATAGTTGTGTAATGAAAGTTTTTATATAATAAGGTAGCTTTTTTTCACAAGCTCAGTTTTTTCACGTTACTTGCTTTTGTTTTTTTTACGCATATCATTACTTTTGCAATGACCACTGAACTAGATTTGTTGATTAAATCATATTTTGAGAGTACATCTGTCTTAGCATCGTCGTATTTAGGATTTTAAAGGCTTTAAAATCTCGGGAGAACATTCGCTAGATGATCTAAAATCCATATGGAGGAAACGATACCTAACCTTTCTAAGTAATTTTCTTATAGAGGAAGAAGAGCATGATAATGGTATCAAGAGCATGTAACTTTTCTGATTCAACAGGTAGTCAAATTTCTGTATATCGCGCTTTATCTCTAATCCATTATGGGTGAAATCTGCGCGACTTAGAAGGGGTGTCGTCCTTTTTATGGCATGGAGTATTGTTTCTCAGCATTGTAATTCACGATCTTCTGCTCTAGAGAGGGTATCATCCTTCTCGAGATATGGGGTGTCGTTCCTCCAGAAAGATCATGCGATATATTGAAAACACTACCCTCTTGATTAATATTTGCTAACTGCTTTCTATCCCTAAATTATTAGAAGCGTATACCTGAAGAAGAAAGCTTTTGGGATTGTGTCAGAATAGAGAGAGTTTTGATGATAAGAGAGGTATATATAACTTTGAACAGTCCTTCTTAAAATGTCCAACGAATTTGATTTTAACATGATCATTTGCCAATTTTCTAGCATTGGATGTGCTCTGTGTTTCTCGTAGTCAGAAATCTAACGAGTATATTGATAAAGTTAATTCATACCTACTGGAATAAACTGAGATAGCAAGAGAGAAAGAAGCGGGTACTATAATAGGACAGAAGTGATCTTACGAGGAAGAGTTATTTCCTACAACAATGAGAAATGTTAGGGTATAACTCAATATTTGGTTTTTACAAAAACGTTAAAAATTCTTTGGTGTATGAGTTCAGATGATCATTTATTTATCTAATCTTTTGAATGTGTGTATAGATCAGAGCTATCAGTATGGATATGGAGTCAACATATAATGATTTAACACTCAGTAATCATTATCTATTTCTCTTACGAACGTCTTCTCTGAAATTTCTTCGCAGAAATCATCTGTATCTAATCAGGAACAAGAAGATATAGAAGCGATTTCTCCATTAATCACAAATGAGATAAATGCACAAGATATAGAAAATGGAGGGAATAAAGCAAATATATTTTTTTTCTCACTATTATAAATCATAGTCCACAATAATGATATTTTCTCATATTCCAAAATGCATTTAAAGACAAAAACCGTCATTCCAGTTATTGAAGAAAATGAAATGCCTTCACCCAGTGTTGTCATGGGACATAGTTAGGACACTGATGGGACACTGATGGGACATTGATGGGACAGATGGGACATTTGGGACATATATGGGACATAGTTGGGACATATAGTTGGGACATATAGCTGGGACAGCAAATGCTTGGGACATAGGAAATGGACATCACTGCCTACACTTCCTCAGAATCTAGCATAATCAGAACTATGTTTTCATAAAAAGGAAAGGCTTGGCCTCTACTGCATCAAAAATTTATCCATTAGGATCCAAGTCGAATCATATTATTAATTAAAGAAGAAACATCTATAGTAAGATTAGTAGTTAGAAACCCATATCCTGAACTATTAGTATTAGATGTTTTCAAATTATTCGTTATACCATTTATTGTTTCAAATTTTTTGAGCAATGAACACTGTTCAACCCATATATCTTGCGATTGTTCATAGATGAAATGCATAAAAGCAGATAGTGCTGCATTGATAGCATCTTTAGTGAATAGTGATGATGATATAAATGTAACTAAAGTAGAAGGAATAAAACCTTTAATTAAATCAATGAAAGAGAAGGGTGATACTAGGGATAATGATCAGATATTGAGCTGGTTGATTCGCAGGTCCAGAGGATCTGATTGAGTGATATTACTGAGTAATATTTTGGCATTATTAATAATTACATGAGTTTTATATAGTACCAGAAGGCAAGTCCATATGTGAGCAAAATCTTCCACTTCCATATCACAGCGAATGCAATTTTGAGTGTTATCAAAAATGAGTAGATGCTGTTTTTTGAGAGTTTCTATTGTAGGAAACATTTCAAGAATCCTTTGAAGTTTTTTTTCAGTAAGGTTGAGGCTTCGTAATTAGTAGCATTAGGGGTAATATTATCTTTAATGCAAAATATGGTGGCTATCCAATCAATATTCAGGTTGATATATTTTTAAACAATGTCGAGATTCAAGAATGCTGAAAAGGCCTCTGCTCGTGTAATCTCTTTGATGAATTACCTGATTGGTAAAGCAATAGCCATTTTGTTATAGTATAAAGTATAATGCCATTGGTCATTGATGACGAAATTTAGAATGGGAGTATTCAAGAAGTTTTTTGCTAGTAAATCTACAGCTTTATTATATGGATTACCTAAATGTGTCTTAACTTTATTTAGTTTTACTGTAAGCGATAAATAATTGATAATTTGAAACAAATATTGCCAAATGTGAACATTGACAATTTTGAGAAAGGGTCACTCAGAAGGAGATATAGTTAACAGGAATTTATACTTGTTGAATTATGAAATAATAGTATAAGAATTAGTGAAGATATTGATATTACATATATTCAGGGTGACTAAAATGGCCATAAATATCACAGCTAATTCAGCAGTTGCAGATGATGGAAATAATATAGTGTAAGCAGTAGAATATGAGATTTGTGAAGCTAATGGTATCCATTCTAATGAAAGGCGAGCCAAGATTGACCAAGGATCTGTTAGTATAAAATTCTAAGAAAGTGTAAGAGCTGAATTGAGAACAAAAGTTTAGTAAAGTCTATGAATGAGAAAAAGGAATAAATTTTTCTATAAAAGTAGGTGTGATAGGTGAAACAAAAGAGTGTGTAAGTGAATTAGGAAGAGGAGTTATATGAAATTTAATGAATGAAGAAGCCAATTCATTAAGTAGATTGATGAATCACGAGCATCCATATGATAATTCAGTAGTATTATGATGTATTGGGATATAAAAGTAAAGATTAATTAGAACAATAAAGAAACATTTATGATCTTTATTAGCAGTCTGATATGGAATGTAAGTATGCTGATCATGTAAATTACATTGAGAACAGTCAGAGAGCAATGTTCTATTATCTTGTCTATGTGTTGGGTGAACATGTATTATATACGCGTAATGCTCTTTAGTTTTAAGTAGTCTCCTAATAAAAGGTTTATTGTATCCAAAGTTCTATCCTAATGTGAAGGATATCAGTGCATTTTATCGATGGAGAGAAATCAAAGGTACAGGCCAATAATAAAGTGGAGAGATGTTGAGCCATTCCTTTTGTTGCAGCTGTTTTATACGTAGTCTAGTGGAATTCCCTAAAAGATTTCTATCATTGAGGGAAAAAAGTAAGGCTTCGTTATGTGCTACAAAGAGTCGATAGTGAAGATTGATGAGATTATAAAATAAATTAGAGTGAAATACTGAGGAAGGTGTATCACACGATAAGTGCAATTTCTTCATAAATACATGATATGGAGAACCAATAAAATTGCATTGGATTTCTGTGAGAGCTAATATTTGAGCATGATATTCTATTCTTGACGTAAGAATGGTGTTGAAGATATACACTATCTGTTTGTTAGTCATCTTCTTCTTGAGCATAATAGTAGTAGTATCTTTAATTTCTGCTCTTAACATTTTAACTATAAAAGTCTTGTTGTTACCTAATGAGATCTACACCCTAAGTATTGAGTGGAATCATTAATAGGTAGAGGATTAATCCTTGTTAGAGTATTATTGATATCACACATAAATGGATGTTAGGGTTGTGTTTTGTTAATCATAAGAACCGATTTGTTCCAGTTAACTTTTATATGGTTTAGTTTATAAAAACTCTTTGCAATGTTAATAATATCGTTGAGATCATTATGAGATTTTGCAATCTATAGTGTGTCATCCATATATGTGAACATAAACACTTTTAGCAACGTTATTTCAAATTTATTAATTAATAAGTTTGGTTTCCATGAATACGATAAAGAGTATTCATGTGACGAGTTTTGAATGCAATACAATAAAGGATCATAATAGATGCATCATAACAGTGGAGAAATAATTTCACCTTGGTCAATATCTGATACCACTCTATAAGAGTCAGTATTACCAAATAATGTAAATATTTGATTGTGATGATTACCAAACACTTTCAGGATAAATTGAAGAAAGTTAAAAGGAATGCGAAGTTGTTCAAGCATTCTGACAAGCATGAAGTTATTGACACGATCATACGCCTTGGACATATCTTGTAGCAGAATCCAAAGGTCTTTCTTATTATAGTTAGCATCATATTTAATATTGTTGATAATATGTAGAGGTTCAAAAGTTGACTTAAGTGGAAGTCTAGAGAAGTTTAATCCTTTTAAGACTTTGTATTCTACTAAGATTTTGGATAATCGACGGTTTAAAAGCTTGATGAGAGCCTTGCAAGAACATTCGAGTAAAGTGATAGGACGAGTATTGTTCAAATTATATTCCTAAGATTTCAGTTTAAAATCGGATAAATAAATGCATGATTCCAACAATGTGGTAATGAAGAAATCGATAGATATCCATATATTATATACTACAGAAGTTTTTTCGTCAATGGGCTGAAATGTTTGATCATATTATTGGATATTTTGGATGGTCTAGGTGCTTTTCTGTTAGGGAGATAAGCAATAAGGTCATATTACTCATCCGCTGATGATGGGTTCATTAGGTCATTGTAAATCATGTGATCTATATCAGGTAACGGTTGGTAGAAGAGTAATAAGTCATAATTAATATGGACGTTTTCATGAGCAATACCAGCAGCCATCTGAAAGTGTCTGGCAACTTCTTGCTTAATTGCATCTTCGTCTGTTAAAAGGTCACGTGATGAAGATGTATTATTTATACACCGGTTAATAATAATTGTTCGTTTTGAACGTTCTAACAGTGAATCAGTCATTTTTGCAGGAGAAGATTGATAGTTGTCCAATCTTCTTTCTATGGCCTGCTGGATTGATTTGAGCTTAAAGTCATATTCATAAAGTTTAGCTTTTATGAATACACTTCCAAGCAGTTGATCAATGAACAGAAAAAGTAAAAGTATGAAGGAGACTGACGGATTAGGAGAAATTGCGACATGTATTATGTCAGAATCTTTCATGATAGTATAAAAGTATTCGATTACTACAGACCAGTTGGAGGGGATGACGCAGGTGCAGTTAATTTTCTTAATTATCCTCTTGAATTTATATAAGAATTTAAGTTGCTTATATAATTTAGAAAGTAGTGAAGGTTTTTTCACTGAATGCTACCCTTTTGAGTTGTAAAGAAGAATAGATGTATTCGCAACCTTTATATACATTATTGAAGCAGATCCTAATACTGGTTTAAATTGTGTTGGTTGAATACAGTTTTGTTACTGAGTGTACAAAGATGACATCCGTTGGCTAACGCATCTGCTTTATTACCAAAATCTAACTACTTCTTGTTTGACATTTTATCATAGTCAAATACTTTTTTTAGTGGAATATTTGTTTTTTATTTTTAGCATCTAAGAAGTTTTCAATTCTAAGGATGACTATAGAGTGATCTGACAATGAAAGCAGAATATCTTCAATATCATAATGATCGAAATTAGAAATTACGTTAACAGAAGACCAAATGAAGTCGATTTGAGAATTTGACTTTGGAGAATAATGTGTAGGATATGCAGCTTGATGCTGATCATACTTGACCAAAAATGTATTAAAAAGTGAGAATCATTCAGAGTAAAGAAAAGTTTTTTGTCTTGTGAGTGTAGCTTTAGGTTATCCATATCAGCATTAAAGTCATCAAGGAGAACAATATGATAGTTGTTAGAAGTCGCATCTCTGATATATTTCATAAGATTTAATTGAATAACTTTTCTAAGTGCTAGATTTCCTGGCAGTAGATAACAATTAATGATTTGAGTTTTCTGCTTGTTTGCAAATTGCAGGTCTATGATGATTAAACAGTTGTGTTTGACTTCATGATAAAAGACATGATTGGCAAGAAATAGTTTGAGTAAAATGCCAACATCAAAGCCAGATTTCTGTGCGTCTGATTGAAAAGAGAGGCTGAAGAAACCTTGGAATTGGTGACTAAAAGTAAGGTTGAAAGGTTTGATATATGCGGAAGTGAAATTGGTTTCTTGTAGTCCTATTATATCTAAATCTAATGAAGAGTAGAGATCTATAAGACAAATTTGTTTAGAGGGATTAGTGAATAAGCGGACATTATATGTGGAAAATGATAAATAGGGAATAGGAGTAAGAATGGTATTATTTGCAATAGATTGTGCAGCTTATGCAGAAGAATCTGTAAAGATAGTAATCATAAGATAAATTATAATTAGGGGAGTCTTTT